TAGATAGATAGATAGATAGATAGATAGATAGATAGATAGATAGATAGATAGATAGATAGATAGATAGATAGATAGATAGATAGATAGATAGATAGATAGATAGATAGATAGATAGATAGGATAGATTGATTGATTGATTGATTGATTGATTTTGCTTTGTATGTTGATTTGTAAAAAACAGTAAATATTTTTTGATTTAGGTTAATTCCTCACACCACAAAGTAGTTTCCTTAATGGGAGAAGCTGCCTTGCGTGGTCAAGTGACAATGATTCTAAGACGACGAACGCGACCCGGCATAACACAACCTCAACTGCAACAGCACTCTATGCCACAGCAATTGATGGTCCAACAACAGTCTATGTTAAATAATACTGGTCTAACAGGCAATGTAGGCATGCTGCAGCATCCTTCTCCTTTACAGCCTATGATGCGTAACAATCCTATACGTTATCCTTAATGATGTTATAGTAACAAGACATGAAAATGAAGGATTTGGTTTTGTTATCATTTCTTCGTCTAATCAATATTATGGCTCAACAATTGGTAAATATTTAATTAAAAGAAAAAAATTAACATTTTGAAACATTTTTTTTTTAAATTCTTTTAAAGGCAAACTTATACCGGGTAGTCCAGCCGATCGTTGTGGCGAACTTAAAGTGGGTGATCGTATAATAGCGGTAAATCGTATTGACATAGCCGGCATGTCTCATGGGGATGTGGTCAATTTAATTAAAGAATCTGGTTTACACGTACGTTTAACCATTGGCTGCCCCAAGGAAGGAGCTATTATAAATGCTGCACCCACTATGCCAGCCGGCAGTGGTATTAATCCAGCCTCCAATGTAGCGGTTGGCAGTACAGGTTTATTATTAAATTCTGCACAAGCTTCACCTGGCCAAGTGTCACAGACATTAACGCCTACGCTACAAACAAATTTAGATCCCTCAACACAATACTTTGAAAGACCACTACTTAGTGGTGGCTCAAATGCTGGCTCGGCTACATCTTCAACGTCGCATCACCAGCAAACAGCTCAACAATCACCAAATCCTTTACCAGCACCACCACAATTATGACTTTGAGATTTACGCATTAAACTCTTAAAGAGTTTTCTTTAGTAAATATTCAAGAACCCTTAAAAACCCACCCTGCACCTTTCTCACCAACATCTAGCCTTATTAAAACCTATCTACAAACTATCTACCTAATTCCAATTCCACATTGACCATCATTAGTTTTAATATAAGTATATAAAATGTATATACAATTAGTTTAAACAAAACTTTTTTTCAAAAGGTAATTAAGTTAAGTTAAAATAACTAATATTTTATTATAGTAATGTAATATTAACTAACGTATTTAATTCAATCCCTTACCCAAAGACTGACGACATTTTACATACATATGCACATTATTATTATAGTGTTTTTACTTAAAATAGCAATGGCTCAATTCAATATTAAGATAAACTAACTTAAACAAAAAAACTTAAATCCATTTTGTACTTAATACATTCATAATATTTAACATTTAAATTATTTGTTGTTGGTATTAAACAAATTAAAAAAAAGTATTTATACATATCAAACGAACTTATATACATTTTAAAATAAAATTTACTCGATCAGTGTTTAAATGACTTATAAATCCTTAAGAATTTTCTATACAAATTTCTTAATATTTGTTAATTTTTTTTTTAACTTTATAAAATTAAATTTAATGAAATAAGAAAAAGTAAACAAAAAATAGTTTTTAAGTGTTAAATTTTAATTATCATTTATTTACAAATTAATAAAAATAATTATATTATGTATTAGTTTTCTTTTTTGTATATTATATAAAGTGTTAAAAAGTAATACATATTCATACATATTAAATTTTAAACTTATACATACATACATACTTATGTAAAAATATATATTTCACGAAATAAATGTAGTTTAAATTATACAAAAATAAATTTGCGTTTTTTACAGTTAAAAATAAGTAAATAAATGGGTTAACAGAGACTAAATGGTACTTTTCTAATTGATAGAGCTACGCCGATCACATCAAGTTTTCATCATATCTTAAATTAAGGTTTAAAAATCGCCATTTTTAAGACATTATAACAGCACGAAGTCAACTTTATAAAAACTTAATGTCCTCTCTGTTATATCTTATTCCTTCTTTGATATCACTTAATCTAAAGTTTAAAATAACTATAAAGTCGATTTTGACTTTGTTTTGCGTCAAAAATACTCCCAAGAACAGTTTTCCAAACAATTCAATAAACATTTTAAATTTTGTGATTAGTTTTGGGTCACAAGTTTGTTGTTCGATCAAGATATCTCAAAGGAATAAAAGTTTCAAATCAGTCTGTAGTGGTTTAGAAACTGTATTTTGGAAATAAGTCGGTATCTGGAAAATCATTGGATATATCGTAACAAAATTTCAACATGGTTGGAGCTGAGATGTTTCCGAGTTGATTAACTGGCTTCCATCTGTAGGCCGAATTCGTATCATAAATGGATTTCATGCCCACTAGCTTAAATTCGGCCTACGATCAGCTACTCTTAATCAGAAAAAGTTGATAATAGAAGTATCTATATAATCTATTAACTCAATAGCATTTCTGCTCCACTTATAAAACCTAATGGTTGCCTATTTCATTCCTAGCTACATTTCCTACTTCATTTTGGATCTGTTTTTGGTTCATTGTTGCTATACTGTTTCTAGCTCTTCATCATCTTCACACCACATTCATAGATCTTTTGTATTAATGAACAATTACTTAGAAAGGCTGCAATTGCACAGTGATCGGCTAACACTTCTTCTAGAATCATTATACTCTTCCTGTTCAATCCTAGTAGAACTTTGGTTGCCTTAATGTTTAAACTTAGCCAAAAGGTTTTGGATACCTGGCAAAACATTACTCTGTGTCAGGATTGATTTATGCAGTCTTTTAAAAGTTTTGCCGACCAATCTCTACTTCCTTTATATGTACATATGTATATTACAGCGTCGTGGTAACCAAAACAACATTATTGAGTTCATCCTAAATAATTAAGTGCCCTTTTGGTGTATTTCTTTGGATTTGATGTAACATTCATACATCTTCCTTTCAAACTACCTAACTGGTATACGTTCCATTGAACTAGAGTATAATGCCTTTAGGAAGGCTTCTTCATCGCCCCTTTTTCCTGCGGGGAATTGCTGGCTGCCATGTTGCCGCCAACTGCGAGTTTGAAAATAAATCCCGTGAAAATGAGTTGTATAACGAGAGAAATAAATAAAACAGTATTACGAATACAAAAATTCCCCAATCTGGTAGACGAGCAAAATTCCACTTTTTACTTAATTTCTGGGATTCCGATTTTATTTAAAATCGTTGAAAATTTAAAAATAACTGAATTCTTAGCCGGCTTAGAATAGGTGACCTCCGGTAGGTTGGTGTTCTAGTCTGGTAGACCGTAGGTGTTGGGTTCGATTTCACACTAAATAGCCGGTTTACAGACGATTTTAAGCCGCCGCAAACATTTTAACTGTCAGCTGCCGGCGCCGTTAATATTTGTCAACGAAGGCTTTTGATACAAATTGTTGTGTAAAACTGCATTTATGTTAAGAATTTGTTAATAAACTATTAAAAAAAAGAATTGCCAGAAAAAAATAGCGTGAAAAATATTAAATTACTTTTATTTCAATTGTAAATACAAATGTGTAGACTGTAGTTAAATGAAATTTAAACTAAAAAGAAAATGAGTAGACCTCGTAGTGTCCTTTGTCCGGTCGCTGTTGTTTATATAGGCTTAATCTTAAAATGCAAGCCGATGAGTGAGAAAACTAAACATTTAAGATCCTGTACCAAATAGTAAAAGCAACGCAAGCCCTCGGGATCTTTGGAACGGTTTACATCGACCAGTGAACCGGTCTTAGAGGTGGTAAACGATATGTGCTCATCGCCAATGACAATTTCAAGTTCCTGAAAAAGCGACATATTTGAAAACATAAAATAAAATTGAAAAAACAATTGTGCGTTGAAAATTACCTGTCTTCCTACACGATCTGGTGGTGGCCAAGGTGAATCATCTTCAGCCATTATTTCTGAATCTAAAATAATACGTTTGAGCTCTTCCATCACCGATTGATGAACAAATGCCTCTTTGCGAATCATGGTGTCATTTTTGTAGTTCGAGTTGTTGGCATAGCGCAGTTTGCCATCGGGGCGAAACTCAAACTCGAGAAATTCGTGGCCAAATTTACCTTTATGCCCGACATAATAACGTAAGTAGAAATCTTCTGTAGACATTTTGTGTCTTAATTAATTGCAATTTATATTTATTTGCACCTTTTTTGTTAAGAATTTTACGATTTTACTACTTGTGGTTTTTCGGCACAAAAAAAATATAAAAACGCTTTCACATTAGAAATGTCAAAAAGTGTTTTGTTGTTGTTGCCAGGGTTGTATTCTGCCGGTAGAAAAAGTGGTGCCAAGTTTGTTTTGTAGCGAAAAATAAATATATTTATGTAGAGAGCAGTTTCACAAACTCTTCTTAATATTTTGATGTTGGTGCAACCGCTCAGAATTTTGTAAATGCATTTATAATGGGATAGTTAATATAGTTATCAAATACCTATTAGATTTTTTTCGACTTTTTAAGTTAAAAATATAATGCTTCCACGTAGTTTTTTTAATTTTTGCAATAAAAATAGAAACATAATTGAATCGATTTTAGACTGATTTTAGTTTAAAAAGTCGACTTTTTGACCGTTTTTTTTTTTTTTTTAATTTTTTCGATTTTTAAACTGTTAAGTGGCGGTTGATTCAAATCTGGTATGAATTTATTAACAACCTTAATATAATAACATAACCTCCACTACTACGCTATATGGTTTCCATGGCAAGTGCTATATAAATTTGTTTATTTTAATAACCCAATAACCTATAAATATGTAGTTGTTTTTGTCGTTAATAACAAAGTAGTTTAATAACAAAAACTTCAGTTGTAATAAAAAAAAAATACTTTTAAATATGCCAAATCAAAAAAAGAATCAGGTAAATTGCAATTATTTTGCTACATCAGTACGATTAAACAACTTTATTAACTATTTTATAGAATAAACGGACTCGTGCTTATGTAGAAGAAGTTTTTCGTCAAATTGAACAAAAACCAGATGTAACCGATATTATGATACTCAATAATAAGGGTAATCCGGTTAAAACGACTATGGAGAGTTCCTTAGCCATACAGTACGCTGGTCTCTATGAAATATTGCGCGACAAAGTTTGTATGGGTTTACAGAAGATGGATGCACGTAATGAATTAATTATGCTTAGATTAAGAACTACTAAAAATGAGACCTTAATAGTTCCGGATGGTAAAATTACTATTGTCGTAACACAAAATGCCAAAGATGGTTTTCAAAATGCCTAACCACTCTTTTATTTTGAAAAATTTTAATTATTTGTATTAGCCAAATGTTTTTTTTAACAAGAGATAGATAAAAAAAATAAAAATAAAAGTTTTTTTTATATAAAATACATATGAGATTAACAATTCATTGTACCACCACTATAGTAAATTCCTTTTCTGGTGCTACTAAATATTCAAATTTTCTGGTGGCTATGCGTAAAAATTTCAAATCGTTTGTACTGTCAATATCACGTACTGCACTTCTAGCGGCCGATACCAACATTTTACAAATTAACTTTATAATGCCCACCGATACGGTATTGTCATAGGAAGATATAGCTATTGTACCATAGTTATTATTACAGACCACATAACCCAAGGCATTTTTCATTATACGTTCCGTATTTTCAGCATTGCGTCGTATTACCGCTTCTAAAGGCTGTAAAATTGAAAAATTGATGAATTTTAAATTCTTTAGATGGTTTATTGTTATTTGAATATCTTACCATGTTGGAAATATATTTTTTGTTACAATTGAATGACTTAAAAAAATAGCTTTGAAAATAAATTCAGTTTATTTTTGATAAATTCAAATGGAGAAGGAATCAAAGAATAATGAAGGAATATTTTGATTTTGAAACAGAACTTCAAATGAATGAATTCATATATAAATCTAGAAATCATAAATCAGGATGCACTAAGTAAGGTGAAATCGTCAAGGCAGCTGGTTTTTATTTGTTTATTTAAAAAGTGCTTGGGTTATGTCAAAAATAATTTATTTATTTTTATTCTAACATAAAAATTAAATTTGTGTTTTCTAACGAAAAAATTTCAAACCAAAAATTATGAATGAAAATGCTAATAAAAGGGTTCCAAATGAAGAAATTCAGATGAACCAGCAATAAGACGTTGTCCTGCTGCGAATACAATTTAAATGTAACGACGGTTTTATAGGTAATATTGTGAAATACGCAAAAAATTTTCTTTCCAATATTTATTATTTTTATTTTTCAATTTCATTTTGACAAAACCCATACTGAAAACAACAAAAAAATATTGTGTTTGTTGTGGTTGTTGCCCAAACGCTCTCACCTTACTTATTACATCATGTCATAAATCTTCAATATAAATTTAACCCTTTCAGGGTCAAAAATAATTTATGTCTAGAAAAAAACTTGAAAACTTGTATTAAAGATAATTTGAGTATGCTGAATCCGGGAAAAATAATATTTTTGAATTTGAGTTTTCCCTAATGAGTTATAGAAGGTCAAAGTTAAATGTCGAATATATTCGACATTCGAAAAACAGTCTCCAAAAAGTACCACAAATATTTTTTATGATTTTTTTTTTTTTTTGTAAAATGTCTTCTTAAACTTCTTTCAATACAATACAATTAAAATCTGCATAGTCCGTTCTCCTAAAATACAAATTTTTTGGCCATTAAATGAAGCTTTTTTTTAAACGTTGTTAAAAAGCACTTTTTAAAAAGTAGTCATAAGTGATAATTTCTTAAAATCTCATTTTTAAATACTTTTCAAATACGGAAGATCTTTCAAAATCTCAATTATAAATATAATAAAGTCTTCATTTTCATCTAAAAGAAAAAAATTAAAACTAAAGTTAAATATTATACCCAAAAAATGCTTAAAAACAGAGTCTATTGTAATGTCGAATATATTTTTTTTGTAAAATACAATACAATTTAAATCTGCATAGTCCGTTCTCCTAAAATACAAATTTTTTGGCCATTAAATGAAGCTGTTTTTTAAACGTTGTTAAAAAGCACTTTTTAAAAAGTAGTCATAAGTGATAATTTCTTAAAATCTCATTTTTAAATACTTTTCAAATACGGAAGATCTTTCAAAATCTCAATTATAAATATAATAAAATCTTAATTTTCATCTAAAAGAAAAAAATTAAAACTAAAGTTAAATATTATACAAAAAAAATGCTTAAAAACAGAGTCTATTGTAATGTCGAATATATTCGACAAAACCACGGAAAGGGTTAATAAATTTTTTTTTGGGAAATGTGTCAAATACAACACTTTACAGCTCTTCGACGAGTATGAAAATGATCGCAATTCGTTATCGGTCATCTTAAGATTATAATGCTGCGTATGACACGATAATTTAAAAATCGTTATGTCATTAACGAATTCTAATGCCAGATACAGCTCAGAAAAGTATACATTGGACTGTGTATTTTTAAATTTCTTGTTTTTATTAAAATAAATAATAAAATTCCCTTAATATGCTGTAATGTAAATAATACACACCTGGCAATGCCGTAAAACAGTTAAACTTTCAAAAAAGAGCTTTTTTTCTTGTTTAATCTCTTTTCTTCCTATTTCTAAAAATGACAGCTTAAAACGTAATGCAAAAAAATGCCAAGAAAGTAATGACATTTCTCGCGCGCTTGTACACATTACAACAACAAACAATTTGCTACAACAAAGTAAAAAGTCAAAACAAGAAATAAAATCACAAAAAAACTATATAAGAACGTAGAAAAAAGTGTTGGAAGTATTGCTCTGGTTCAACAATAAAATACAGTGTATTTATTATTTAGTTACAAATTAAACAAAAAAATAAATCATTCTAATGTAAAAATGTGTGCAGATTATTTATAAGAAAAATAGTGAGTACATTTTACATAAATTTTAATTAGAAAATGTGCAATTTGTGATACTTTTGCAACATTGTAATTTTTCTTACTTTGTGTGTGCAATCAAGTAAATGGAAATGTGTGTTTGTGTATCATGTAAAATTGATAAAGTCAGCAAATAAAATGTATACACATTGTAATCTAAGCAGAAATGTTTTGCAATTTTAGAAGATAAAAAAAATGGAAATCAAGCAAGTTTTGTAATAAAGTTAATTTCTTTAAAGTTTTGTAATAAAATATTGACACAATTTTTAAGGTTTTTGCAATTTGAGGAGGGGTTCAGTGATGGAAAAAGCCCCAAAAAAATGTCAACTCATTTGCAAATATTAAAATATTTTTTCTGTTCTTTGCTTTGTATGTAATTCCTATAGATTTAGCAAAAAGTAGCAACGTAGGAATTTTCTTTACTTTGTGCAAGGTTTTTTTTTTTACTTTATTTTTTCGTTTTTGTTGTTATCGTTTTAGTTTCAGTGGAGTTGTTTTTCCCCAAGTCCTTAGAAAGTACATACAAAAGAGTATTACAACGTGAGAGCATACTAGGAGGTTTATTATAATGTGATTTGTACAGAGAAGAGCAGGAAATCTCGGTCAAAGTAATTTTACAAAACAACTGTTCGGCAACTATGTAGCTTTGCGTTGTTGTTGCTATTATTGTCACAACATTGTTGTACTAAGTGGGTTTATTCCCTGCCGGTAACAACAACTACGTCACACCAACATCACACGTAAATTCCATAAAATATTTTATCACTGACATGCGCACTTTTATTCTCTTACTCTCTGTGGTCGAGGAATATGATGAAAATATTAGCTTTATAAACTATTATTAACTCAATGTAAGAGTATTGTTAATAGTTTGTTTATATGCTTGAGAAGTGATAGAGAGAGAGAGTGGGTGCATGGTTTCTGTGATATTTTGTTGTTAATGTTTTTGCAACAATGTTAATTTGACATGTTTACAGCGTGTCTGCAAATAACAAATGTACAAGTGAAAGTTGAAGTAAAATGTAATGTAACAACAACCAACTGCAGTAGGAATCAGAGAAAGAGTTACCAATATTAATTTTTCCTAATAAATTACTGGGTTGTTGGGAATAATTTATGTTTATGATTTAAGAATGAGATTGGTGTGTTATATATAAAAATAATGCTCAACTAATGGCACTTGTTGCATATAAATGTTTAACAATATTTAAGAATATACTGTTAGAAGGCCTTAAAAGTTTATATAGACCATATTATTTTTATGGAGTAGACTATATTAAAGACCAGATAGTAGACTATATTATAGAATAGGTTAAAGTCGCGACTACAGACTAGGCTATATTGAAGACAATAGATTAGGCTATAGTCCAGACGACAGACTAGACTATAGTCTAGACTATAGCCCAGACTATAGACTAGACTATAATCTAGACCATAGAGTAGACTATTGTCCAGTCTATAGACTAGACTAGACTATAGTCCATACTGTAGAATAGGCTATAGTCCATACTGTAGAATAGACTATAGTCCATACTATAGACTAGACTATTTTGCAGACTTTAGACAGACTATAGACTAGACTATAGTCAAGACTATAGTCCAGACTATAGTCCAGACTATAGTCCAGACTATAGACAGACTATAAACTAGACTATAGTCCAGACTTGGACTAGACTATAGACTTTACTATAGTCCAGACTATAGACTAGGCAGACTATAGTCCAGACTATAGACTAGACTAATCTATAGACAAGACTAGACTAGACTATAGTCTATAGTCTATAGACTAGACTGTAGTCCAGAATATAGACTATACTAAAGTCCACACTCTTCCAGACTATAGACTAGACTATAGTCCAGTCTATAGACTAGACTATAGTCCAGTCTATAGACTAGACTATAATCCAGACTATAGAAAAGACTATAGTTCAGACAATAGACCATAGTCCAGACAATAGTTTAGACTATAGACTCGACTATAATCCATACTATAGACATGAGGGTAGTCCATTATATAGACAAGACTATATTCTAGACTAAACTATATTCTAGACCTATACTATAGACTAGAGTATAGTTCAGTCTATAGACTAGACTATAGTCCAGACTATCGACTTGACTATATGCTAGATTATAATCCAGTCTGGACTATAGTCTAGTCTATAGACTGAACTATACTCTAGTCTATAGTATAGGTCTAGAATATAGTTTAGTCTAGAATATAGTCTTGTCTATATAATGGACTACCCTCATGTCTATAGTATGGATTATAGTCGAGTCTATAGTCTAAACTATTGTCTGGACTATGGTCTATTGTCTGAACTATAGTCTTTTCTATAGTCTGGATTATAGTCTAGTCTATAGACTGGACTATAGTCTAGTCTATAGTCTGGAAGAGTGTGGACTTTAGTATAGTCTATATTCTGGACTACAGTCTAGTCTATAGACTATAGACTATAGTCTAGTCTAGTCTTGTCTATAGATTAGTCTAGTCTATAGTCTGGACTATAGTCTGCCTAGTCTATAGTCTGGACTATAGTAAATTCTATAGTCTAGTCCAAGTCTGGACTATAGTCTAGTTTATAGTCTGTCTATAGTCTGGACTATAGTCTGGACTATAGTCTGGACTATAGTCTGGACTATATTCTGGACTATAGTCTAGTCTATAGTCTGTCTATAGTCTGAACTATAGTCTGGACTATAGTCTAGTCTATAGTCTGTCTATAGTCTGCAAAATAGTCTAGTCTATAGTATGGACTATAGTCTATTCTACAGTATGGACTATAGTCTATTCTACAGTATGGACTATAGTCTAGTCTAGTCTATAGACTGGACAATAGTCTACTCTATGGTCTGAATTATCGACTTGACTATATGCTAGACTATAGCCTAGGATGTAGTCCAGGCTATAGACTAGACTATAGTCCAGACTAAGACTAGACAATAGTCCAGACTAAGACTGGACTATAAACTACACTGATTCAGACTATAGACTAAAATATAGTCCAGTCTATAGACTACCATATAGTCCAGACTATAGACTAGACTATAGTCTGGACAATGGTTCAGACTATGGATTGGACTATATTCTAGACAAT